ATTAACATTTTAATGTAGAAATCAAAATACCCCATAACATACCATTACCCCATTAGTGGAAATTTAAGTAGCTTCCAACTAGTAACTATTCTGCACAATGCTGTAATGAACATGATTGCTTTCTCTTAAAATTAACTTACAGATTTATTTTTCTTAATACAGAAACAAAACAGGATTTTATTATAGAAAATTTGGATTACAGAAAAGCCAGCAGAGGCCAGGCTCAGTGACTCACGCTTGTAATCCCAGCACTTTGGGAGGCCAAGGCGGGCAGATCACTTGAGGCCAGGAGTTTGAGACCAGCCTGGCCAACATGGTGAAATCCCATCTCTGCTAAAAATACAAAAAAATTAGCCCAGTGTGGTGGTGTATGCCTGTAATCCCAACTATACCCAAGAGGCTGGGACACAAGAATCACTTGAACCTGGGAGGGGGAGGTTGCAGTGAGAGCCCGCCTGGGCAACAGGAGACACTATTTGAAAAAAAAAAAAAAAGCCAGTACAAAGTATTTTGTACGTATGCATATATGTAACACAACTATACACATATATACATGTATACATGTCTCTATGATTTTTTTTTTCTCTTTTTTGGGATGGAGTCTCGCTCTTATTGCACAGGCTGGAGTATAATGGTGCAATCTCGTCTCACTGCAACCTCTGCCTCCCAGGTTCGAGTGATTCTCCTGCCTCAGCCTCCTGAGTAGCTGGGATTATAGATGCTCACTACCACACCCGGCTAATTTTTTGTATTTTTAGTAGAGAGAGGTTTCACTATGTTGTTGGTCAGGCTAGTCATGAACTCCTGACCTCAGGCGATCCACCCGCCTTGGCCTCCCAAAGTGCTGGGAGTACAGGCATGAGCCACCGTGCCCAGCCATCTCTATAATTTTCAAGAAATGAGATCATACTTCACCCTAGTTTTTCAATTAACACTGCATAGTAAATGGATTTTCATTACATTAAATATCTGACAATTACATCATTTATAAGAGTGACACATAATACATTTAATCTTTACAACAATTCATGAAGTGGGTCATATCTTTATTTTAACATGTTAAATTCCTAATATGTTAAACTTAAGATGTTAAAATACAAAGCAATCCCAAAGAGAAGTTCCCCTGACCAAAAATCAAGAGACAAAATAAATAAGAGCAATGGATCCAAAGGCGATCTGGGTATCCATGCCACCCATTCTTTACTTGGAAATCCAACGGGACCTCATCAGGCCGCATCATGAATGAACTCCCATTCACAATTGCTACAAAGAAATAAAATACCCAGGAATACAACTAACAAAGGACGTGTAGGACCTCTTCAAGGAGAGCTACAAACCACTGCTCAAGGAAATAAGAGAGGACACAAACAGATGGAAAAACATTCCATGCTCATGGTTAGGAAGAATCAGTATCATGAAAATGGCCATACTGTCCAAAGTAATTTACAGATTCAATGCTATCCCCATCAAGCCACCACTGACCTTCTTCCCAGAACTGGAAAAAACAACCTTAAACTTCACATGGAACCAAAAAAGAGCCCACATAGCCAAGACAATCCTAAGCAAAAAGAATAAAGCTGGAGTCATTACGCTACCTGACTTCAAACTATACTACAAGGCTACAGTAATCAAAATAGCATGGTACTGGTACCAAAACAGAGATATAGACCAATGAAATAGAACAGAGGTGTCAGAAGTAACGCCACACATCTTCAACCATCTGATCTTTGACAAACCGGACAAAAACAAGCAATGGAGAAAGAATTCCTTTTAACAAATGGTTTTGGGAAAACTGGCTAGCCATGTGCAGAAAGCTGAAATTGGACCCCTTTCTTACACCTTATACAAAAATTAACTCTAGATGGATTAAAGATTTAAACATAAGACCTAACACTATAAAAACCCTTGAAGAAAACCGAGGCAATACGATTCAGGACATAGGCACAGGCAAGGACTTCATGACTAAAACACCAAAAGCAATGGCAACAAAAGCCAAAATAGACAAACGAGATCTAATTAAACTTAAGGGCTTCTGTACAGCAAAAGAAACTATTATTAGAGTGAACTGGCAGCCAACAGGATGGGAAAAATATTTTGCAATCTACCCATCTGACAAAGGGCTAACATCCAGAATCTACAAAGAACTTAAATTTACAAGAAAAAAACCAACCCCATCAAAAAGTGGGCAAAGGATATGAACAGACACTTTTCAAAAGAAGGCATTTATGTGGCCAACAAACATATGAAAAAATGCTCATCATCATGGTCATTAGAGAAATGCAAATCAAAACCACACTGAGATACCATCTCACACCAGTTAGAAAGATGATCATTAAAAAATCTGTAGGTAGATGCTGGAGAGGATGTGGAGAAAGAGGAATGCTTTTACAGTATTGGTGGGTAAATTAGTTCAATCATTGTACAAGACAGTGTGGCGATTCCTCAAGGATCTAGAAATAGAAATACCATTTGACCC